GCTTAAAATAAATAATTTAAGCATTTATAAATTCCAGAATTCATTAACTACAAAGCAGAAAGTTTGCATATGCACAATATATGTAGAGGGATGCTTTACATCAAATGCACACTACATTACTATAATTCTAGTATGACTTCAAAACCAATTTAACATTCAAACTTAAGTTTTGTATATGAAATCCTAAAGGCTCCCTTCTCTCTTCAAGTGGTTAATCTGTATCTCCCTCTTTTATCTTTTAGTCAACATCCAACTACCACGCTAGGAAATACGGGGTCCGAGCCGCTATGCCTGGCTTCATTGCGAAGAAACTCTGCCCCAACTTAGTCATTGTTCAAACTAACTTTGATAAATACAGAGCTGTGAGTAGTGAGGTAAGAGCAATGCCAAAGCACACACACACACACACACAGACGCAATCAAATGCTGAGCAGCCCTTTCATGGCTTCTCGCTAACAGCTGCTCATAAAATTGTTATCTCTCTGTTAGATCCGGGAGATTTTTGCAGACTATGACCCTCACTTCCAGCCGATGAGCCTGGATGAAGCCTATCTAGATTTTACAGACCACCTGGAACAGAGGCAGAGTTGGCCAGAGTCCTCACGTACACATCGCTACCGCGCCACCACAGGCAGGGCTTGATTAAATGAAAATGTAGAATGAATACATGATGTGGTGTGATGTTTTTGTTTTGTTGATCTGACTCTGAAATGTTTGTTATATAAGTTGCAAAGTTTAACACTCCAGAAATCCAGCTTATCCTTGTGTACAATGATTTATTTTCTCTAAAGATGAAAAGCAGGTCGAGCTTCCCCAGGAGGCAGCGCCAGAGGAGAAAGATCTCTCTCCGGTGCTGTTTGAGGACAGTCCAAACTCTTTTCCCTGCTTGTCGGCCTCTGGAGGTGTCTGTGCTGCTTGGGATGCTTTCGAGGTGTTTGGGACATCTGTTGAGGAGGCCGTGAGGGAGATGCGCTTTCGTATTGAGCAGAAGACCATGCTGACAGCCAGTGCAGGTGAAGGGAAAACCACTGTGATGTTATTAAAAAACAACCTTTCATTATGATGGTATCTTAGTAATATTTTATCCTATAATAATAATACAGAGTGTCACTGCAAGATTTATAACATTCAACTTTAATTTTCTTCCCTTACCCCATCCACTCTTTGTCAGTTAAAACATGTTAAAACTGTAGAGTATTGGCACTTCACTTGACAAGTATAATTTATTCTTCACAATACCAAAACTCCTCAGCAATATTGATAACAATACAAGTCTGAAAATTCCTCACAGCATATTTTATTCAGAATTCTGATCAACATTATGCACGTTTTACCAGCCGTTTGTTTACGAATACTCTTTCCAATCACACTTTCCAATCTTCTAGGAATTGCTCCAAACATGATGCTTGCCAAAGTGTGCAGCGACAAGAACAAGCCCAACGGCCAATACAGACTTCCCTCCACCAGAGAGGCCGTCGTGGACTTCATCCAGAATCTTCCAGTTCGCAAAGTACAGTACACATTCAAACTAAAACATAAGCAGAGCCATGTGCTCGTGAGTGTTTCACATGCATATGCGAATAAAATTTATAGTGTCCATATGTGATAAATTGGCCTGCAAGGTGGCGCGGTTTGTAGCACTGTTGTCTCGCAGCAAGAAGGTCGCCGGTTGCGTGGAGTTTGCATGTTCTCCCCGTGCAGCGTGGGTTCTCTCTGGGTTCTCCGGCTTCCTCCCACACAGGTTAATTGTCTGTAGGCGTGAATGTGAGTGTGCTTGGTTGTCTGTCTCTAAGTGTAGCCCTGTGATAGACTGGTCACCTGTCCAGGATGTCCCCTGCCTTCGCCCTGAGTCAACTGGGATAGGCTCCAGACCCCCAGCAACCCTAGTGAGGATTAAGCGGTGTATAGAAAATGGATGGATGGATATGTGATAAATTATTTGGGCGCACCGCTGCAAATGACTCATGGATCGGTGAACTAAACATTGAGGTAGCAGCTCGAAACCATGCTGTTGTCAGGTTTTTGTCTTTCTGCAAGTCGATGCACCGCCGTCTGTAGTCAGCCAAAGATTATTGATGAGGTGAAAGATGCGTCACTCGGTAACTTCACTGTCGAGGCAGAGTTCCAACACCTGCAGCAGAGTGATACATCTTCTCTCAGAAAACCGTTCGCAGATTGTGTGGTGTCAGTTCCAGCAGTCATAATCTCCCAGCTAAATTTTTAATCATATTAGATTAATAAATAAAGTGGATCGATTTTTAGTTCGGAATCATGACCTTTGAAACGTGCAGCTGTTGAAAACTGAGGTGTGTTAAAGTCGGTCGGCCAGTCTTTTGCTCATCTCACCCTAAAGATTTCAAATCTAAGCAGAACTTGGTAAACTGAGAGGTTTGAAATGATTAAAGTGAAACATGTGTGTCAGGTGCATTAATGTTGTTTCTTTTTGTCCCTTGTTTTTTTTCCTACAATAATTTCAATCAACAAATGTAAGCCTATAAAAACCTGAAATATGGAAAGATGGTTTGTTTTGCTAAAGGCTTTTGGATTAATTTGGCATGATGTGCTGCAGATACAAGAAATATTGTTGACAGTATTTCTGTATCTTTACTGAAAGACAGTAATAACATGCTTGTTTATTCTTCCAGGTTTGTGGCATCGGGAAGGTGAGTGAGAAGATGCTGAACGCTCTGAGCATCAGCTCCTGTTCCCATCTTGGCCAGCAGATGGCGCTGCTGTCGTTGTTGTTCTCGGAGACAGCCTGGCATCATTTCATGGAGGTGTCTCTTGGTTTGGGCTCCACGTTTATACCAAGGTATTGTTTTTGTTTAATAAACATTTATTACAGCTGAGAAAAAAAGGTCTAGTTCAGATAGTTTCATTATCTTCACCGTCTCTGCTCTCCTACAGGCACGAAGAAAGAAAAAGCATGAGCACAGAAAGGTTTGTTTTTAAAATGCGTGAATAGACACTGACATGGTTGAATATATGTACCTTTTTAAGCGTCCAGCCTCATGACTGTCACTGAATTTCCTTTCTGCCCTGCTCTTTCCTGATGTTTTATATTCACAGGACATTTAGAGAACTGAGTAAAGCCGAGGAGCAGTTTTCCTTTTGCAGGGAGCTCTGTGAAGACCTCGCGGAAGACATGAAGAAAGAAGGCCTGAAGGTACAGAATGCGGGCTGCACCATTTAGATTTTAACATGAGCATACTGTGCATATCTTTGGATGCTCGTTCATGGTTTTGTTTTTATAACTGCTGTGATATTGCCTGAATGAATCTTGCCTTAACGTGATGTGATTGTCTCAGACTGAGCAAAGAGAAGCACTCACTGGGGTTTTTTGAACAGAAATAGACAACATTACAAAGCTGTTCAAATAATAAAGAGACAATGGTTATTTTGGTGAAAAAAAAAACAACAACAACCATCTCTGCTTGGTCCTCCGAGAATCACCCAGACTCCCAACAGAGTCTCATACAATTACCTGAACCTGTCCATTCCTCTGTGAATCGATAGAGTAAAGACTGGATTGCTTGGCACAACCATCACCCCCCTGCCTGGGTCCCGATGTGGCCTTGATAGCTGAAGGAAATGGAGGGCCATTAAAGAGACAGCAGGGGCTACTATCAGCCTTGGAAGTATCTCCCTGGGAGATGATCACATTACTATGAAAACTCACAAAATGCATTCTGACAAATCAATCACTGATATGAGAGATGATACAGATTTCCATCTGTCTTCTATTTTTGGCCCTTCCATACAGCGCCATTGATTATGTCGGTAATTAGGAGGTTGTTGGGAAGCAGCCAGAAATGGCCTAAACCGCTTTTCCTAATATGAATTCAACTGTGTTGTCTCTTTTATTTTTTTCTGAAAGGGTAAAACAGTAACGCTGAAGCTTAAGAACGTGAACTTCGAGGTGAAAACCAGGGCACTGACGCTGCCTTATGCTGTTGCTACTGTGGATGAGATCTTCGCTGTTGCTAAGGACCTACTGAAAACGGAAATAGAAAATGAAAGCCCCCAGCCACTCAGACTGAGGCTCATGGGTAATTAGATATAACAATATAACTGACATATCAATTAATATAACTAGCTTGGAATAAATCTAAATGATGTGTGACACACTGCATGTGGAAATAATAACACAGCTGGCATTCATTCTGAAGTTTTCTCCAGATAATTTGTTTTCTTGCTTGTAGGTGTTCGAATTTCCACCTTCGTAAGTTTGGATGATAAACAGCCCCTGCAGAAGAGCATCATTGGGTTTCTTCAGCCAGGCAAGATGGAAAGCAGCAGTTCTTCCAAAGAAACGCATCAAAACCTTGAGAAGGAGAATCGCTCCCTCCCAGCCGGGCCACTTGTGTGTCCTCCACTTGTGCAGAAGTGCCAGAGAAAAGAGGAAGTTCCCTGGAGGAACAGGCAGAGTCAGGCTGGTGAGGAACCCCAACAGTCCTTTTTCCAAAGGGCTCATGCCAAAAGATTGCAACTCCAGGCGGCGAAGGGCAGCACACAAGAGGAAAGGCCTGGAGAAAATGCGTCAATAGTTACTTCCACAGGCACTTGCACTGAAAAGGCTGTAGAGCCATCAACAAAAGCAAACGAGAATAATTGTACAACCTCAGATCTGCCAGAAAATGAGATTGTTTCTCCTGTAGAGGCCCATGCATCCACATCAGGCTGTGGCAGGACCACGTCAGAAACCCTCACATGCCCCGTGTGTTTCAGGCGGGTGGAGACGACCGATCTGAATGTCTTCAACAGCCACATAGACCAGTGTCTTAGTGGTCCCTCCAGAAAAGCAAACCGAAGCACAGCCTCAGACAGCGAGTCGGATTTTGAGCTTGAAGAAAGCGAAGCAGCGCACAAATGCAAGCGGGAGCGCGAGGTTGAAGAGGAGACGTCGAGAAAGAGTGAAGAGCTGAGCAGGGTTTCTCCTCAGAAAGGCCAACGCGACTTGAAAAACAAATCCGTTCAAAATGGCCTGTTGATTAAAGGGGACAACAAGGCCGTGACCTCACAGCAGCCTCAGTCGTGTAATGATAAAGGTCCCGTCCTCATCTGCCCCGTGTGCCAGCTGACCCAGGACACCGACGACCTCACTGCCTTCAACCACCATGTTGACCTCTGCCTGAACCAGCAGGTCCTACATGAGCTGGGAGGGCAGACGTCATCTTCCAGAAATTCATCTCCAGTGAAAAATATCAACACCACGGGTAAGTGTGTGGATTAAATACACCCCATTCTGTGCACTTTTTCATTGCGTTTCATTATTAAACCTTCAAAGGCTGCTTGCTTTGGCTTCTTTAACGCATTAGAAGCTGGTTGTGAGCACAACACTGGCCGCTTTAAATTGAAATATCTTAAAACATTTGCTTATTTACACATCCAACAGTTACAGAGCAACATTTTCCTTGATTTGTTTCTGGCCACCTGATGAACGCAAGGCCAATATTCACTTTTCATTCAGCTCTACCAGCTCCTGAGGGAAATATGTTTCTCTTTCGCTCTTAAATTTTCCATTGTGTTCACCAGCTCAGTCACTAACTGTTTTAGAGCAGGCAGGTAGGTACGAGAGACCCTATGCGCATTGTCACGATTATTATTAAAAAAAATTTGATTACAGTAATTCTCTGGGGCTCATCATGTGTCAGTGTTTCCTGTGTGGATCTTAAGCCTCGAGTAAGCATCCATCTCCGCTCATGACAGTCACGGTCCCGTTAGCGACGTCTATAAGCTGCGCCTGTGTGACATCTCTGGAGTTAACAGAGGGAATGTCTATTTGGCAGAGTGTCAGTGGCCTATGACCTTGTTATTTACTGACAGTGACATTGTGTGAGAAGTTTGTATTGATTCAGACCGAGAAAAGACATCTCATTTCACCCCATGGGGCTCCCTTTGCCCCGGTCTTGGAAATGGCTAAATCACTTTCTCACCTATTCATTTCCTACAATGAACTGCACCCTGGTTTCCTCTTAAACAAGCCTGTCTCTGAAAATTGCACTCTTTATGCTCCTGAAGAGGTGCCGCAATTGTGTACCTCCTCAATGGATGTCATCTTTTTTTTTTCCTTTGACAGAGAAGAGGTGACAATGGAGTTTTTTTTTTTCTTCTATCCGTGTCAATAAGTGTCTGTTTCTGTTTGTAGACAGAGGACATCTGCTGCTGAGGCAAGCGACTAAAGGCAAAAGCAAAAGGTGAGACTCGCTCGCATACAGACTGATGCTTTATAAAAATTCTGGCAGGTGGCGTCTGCATATTTTATGTGCTGCGAGTAAAGTGGTACTAATTTGTGTGTTTTTGTATTTTATTTGTGTTCATTTCACGACTCAGACGGGACTCGCCTTCTTCTCCTCCTTCTAAAAAGGCTAAAAATTTTAATCCTTGCATCACCATAGACAAGTTCTTCAGATGACCGTCATCTACACATCCTGACCTGGATGGATGAGGTTTTCTGCAGGCAGTAAGATATAACTCTCCCAGTCCCATGATTACAATAAAGAGATTTTACTCATGATTTTACTTATGCTACGCACTCCGCTTCACAAGCATTGCACTTAAAGCCATTTTTCTATTGCTGATATTAGAAGCTTAGCATTTGCACAACTAGACCTTATTTGTGTTTTCTATACACAAAATTAATACAGTTTGTTTTATTCTAGAAAAGTTTCAGGGATTTTTAGTGACCCTAGTTTCTGTGAATGCCACTGTCATCGTGTCTTTTCTGTAATCTGTGAGGATAAGCCAGATGTTGTTATTTTAATGTGTGGAAGATAAGGATATCGATGGTAGAGGTCATTTAAATTTATCTTCATTAAGTTATTCTGATATTTGCAATCATTTCCAGTTGTTTTTATTGTGCCAATGATAATACTGTATGTCTTTAATAATGAAAATAAGAGAATTCTTCTATAATAAAATAATACTTTTCTATTATACTGACATCTTACTTTTGGTGACATTTTTACGGTCGGTTCCCATCAATTCTTCATCAACCTCACTGTCGAACCACAGAATAAGACTGGTTTAAGGCAGGTGTATAACTGGAGGATTGTTCTTTTGATAAGAAAAACACTGAGAAAACATGTTTGTGGTGAAGCAGCCCAGTGGCCAGCAGCAAAACACTGTTTAGCTTCAGACTGTGTGACTAGTCTAATTTCTCTGGACAACTAAAACAAACTACTTCCCGTACACTGTTAATCTTTTGTAAACATTACATTGTGTTACTAGACATCAAAGTTGAAAAAAACACTGAGTATGAGATTCTCATGTTACTTTAGGCTCCATAGTTATGCCACCTACTAGTCATACAACACAAGTTAAGTGTGTCATGTTAAATACACTCTTCCTCTATCAGCGGGCCTCTCAAGGGCGTGAGCTGGTAAAGCAAACACGGATCAGCCCTGCAGCATTAAGAAAATAGGAGTACACTTCTATTTCGAGTCTTGCTGTTGGCTATTTGAAGATCAGACCTGCTCGAAACTGGGTAAAACAAGGTTTCTTCGTTTTCTGTGTGGTCTGTTTCTATACGCGTTAGGTCAAGTTTGCTTTCAGTGTATACACTATATTGTTTTTTACCCCAAGCCCACCTTGATTACACAACGAGGTTACTTAAGGAACATCCCGATGGAAAGAAGAGCTTTAGCTTTCAAGGCGATGATCAAGAAGCATCGTCCTAAGAAGGACAATCTGGATCCTCGAACGTGGACGAGACAGGAGACTGTCAGGGGTTTTGCTGACTTCGCAGGCAACAAGCACTCGGACAAAGACACCGACAACAGCTTTGACAACAAGGAGATGTGTGAGTATACGAGGAAAGTCGATAGCAAGGTGGAAGATACATAAACTGTGGCTTTATACAACAGAATAAGCATAGAACATTATGTGATCAAATATTAAAGCGAGTCTCTATACAGCTCAGCCCTTGGGTTTATACTGTTAATCATTAACTAGTCATTGTAGTGGTGTCACTGTATGCCCATAGCACAAGATACATGCTACTGTACTTTTACTGCTTTTTTCAATTTTGAATCAATGACAGTTTACTTTTTTTTTCTTTTTCTTTTCTTTTTTTTTTTACAAGAAAAAAATGTCTCATGTCAAGGCGAATACAGATTTCTACAAAAGTGCAGACCACTTACAAAGTTATGTCAATTTATTAAAATTCTGTAATGTTATATAGGTAATTGCACAGGTGTTGACCCCTTTCATGTCAGTATTTAGTAGTTGTAACTTTGGCCGAGAAACATCCTCACATCCTGATGCTTCCACCACCCTGCTTTGCGGTGGAGATGATGTGTTTGTGATGTGCAGCGTTTGGTGTCCAGCAAACATAACGTTTAGTCCAACGGCCACGAAACTCAATATTGGTCTCATTAGACTGAAGAATTTTCATCTAGTTGATTCAGTGTATCTCACATGCCTTTTACTAAACTCTAATCAAGATTTAATACATTTTTTTAAATATCAGTGGCTTTCTCTTTGCTACTCTCCCTTAAAGCTTTGGTTGGTAAACAACTTGGGCAACAGTCATTGTATGCACAGTCTCATATTCCTTCCATTTAAAATAATGGATTTAACTGTATTATAAGTGACTTGGAAATGTTCTTGTATCACTCCACTGACTTGTGCTTTTCAGAAACCTTTTCATGGAGTTGCGTGGAGGTTTCTTTTGCCTTCATGGGGTGGTTATGGTCAGATACAGCCATCCAGATACAGGTGTTAGTCACTTGAGACACATTCACTGCGCTCTCCATTTCATGAATTGTGTGACCTCTAGCACCAACTGGCTGCACCTGTGTGTGAATTAGAGTTCTTTTTTTTTTCTTCTTTTTTTCCCAAACAAATCTGTTTTCACTTTGACATGAGACACAATGATTCTTGTCAAAAAAATAAATTACCCATGGTTCAATGTTAACAAGCAAAAAAAAAAAAAACTTCCAAAGCAGGTGAATACTTTTTATAGGCACTGTAAATGTAGTATATTTGCTGTATGGGTGTGTGTGTAGGTTAAAATCTGGGGAATCTCCTGCACAGAAGGTTCACAGTCATCTCTCACAGTACAATGCTGTTAAAGGATTAAATAACATGTAAGCAGGTTTATGTAAAGCATTCCTATCTACTGTGTTATGTAGTGCTTGACACAGAGAAGCAGTTTATGGATGCAGCAAAGAGGAACGATGTGGAGACCATGAAGAATCTTGGAAAAGGGCTGAATGCCAATGCAAGAAATGTGGTGGGTCTAAGAAGAACTCTGCATCGTTTTGCACTGCATTATTTATTATCACATGGGCTCAAAGGCTAAACAGCTGTGGGGTTTTGGAGAAACCTTGATTAAATGAATAATATATCGATTGTGTTGTTTGCCCCAGCATAACAGGACGGCCCTCCACTACGCTGTAGCTGGAAAAAACAAGGAGGCCGTTCAGCTCCTTCTGCAGCGCAGGGTCAAGGTGGATCTGAAGGACAAGGTGAGAGGGTTTAAAGCTCCTGCATCAGAAGACATGAGCCACAGACAACAACTTATCTAATATCTTTAAGTATAAGCGTCCATTTTGTGTTTTGTGTCCGACAGTATGGCGTGGCACCCATTCACCTGGCTGCCTGGTTTGGTAGTCTGGAGATCCTGAAATTATTAGTGCAGGCTGGGGCTGAGCAGAAGGTTGAGAACGAGGTAAAGCAGCAGGAAGAGTTTTGTTTGTCTGAGAAAAATACCCTGAAATTGGCTCATTTATCTTTTTATTTTGCACAACTTGGAAAAAAAAACATGCTCCTCCTCAGGCATGAGGTGATTAATTTCATTATCCTGAATTATGAAGCTCACATTTATATGCTCATCCTGTTTCAAATCTCAGGGCACACACTTTTGTTTTTTCTTATTGCTGCCTTTGCTTTCTAATGAAACTCAAGTTAAATCTCTTTGACAATAGTAGCTACTCAAACTTCACACTGCTTGATTTAACAGGTTTTCTTTTTTTTAAACTCAGGATGGACTGAACATTCTGCACTGTGCTGCCATCAACAACCACACTGAAATCGTAGAGTACATTGTTAATGACCTGCAGATGAAAGACCTAGACAAAGATGACACGGTATCTACTCAACATGAAGCTTTCCTAAATCAACTGTTTCATTCACTTTCTACTCAAGTGCATGCACTAAATTTGGTTGTCTGTACCTCATCTCTTACATATTTCAGTCAGGGCACCGAGCGTTTGCACTGGCGGCCGAGCACGGGTGTGTTGAAATGTTAGAGATGCTGATGGAGCCGTACAACATGGCCACCATGAAGCCCAACAAGGTGTGTGTGGATGTGATCTCAATGCATCTGCTTGCAGTATATGGATATTCATCGTCACGTGTCTGAGTGCACATTTCTGTGTCGCACCTGCAAGAAAGCTCAAAGTCAAACCCTCTTTGATGCGAGCTGTTTCCCCTCCCTCCCTTCTGCCAGAGAGGCGACACGCCCCTGCACTTAGCTGCCAGGAACGGCCACTTGGATGCCGTCCAGCTGCTGCTGCAGAGCTTTGATACTCGGGATGAAGTCAATATGGTAGACAATCAGTGTAAACATCCTCTCTATCACGGTTTGGTTTGTGACAGTGTGGGCTCAGTGGCTAATCCACTGCTGGATGGTGGCTCCACTTGGGATTAATTAAGATGAATCAAACATGTTCTGGTTACCATAACAACACGTAATGTGCTCGGGCTCAAACTTCAGCTTTGGTTGGTAAATTGCACTTGATAAACTTGGTGATTTTTTAACAAAGAGGATAAACCATTTTCAGATGATTTGTTGATCATTAATTGACTGGAGCCTGTTCAAGTTAAATTAGTGGGAAGAATGTTTTTTGATTTCTGAACTCTAGTTGGTTTCAAGTTGAGTTTTGTGAGCATAGTAAGTTATTTTAATGAATATTTCTGTGCTTCTGTTAGAAATGCACCATCACTATATACTTTATTGATGGATCTTCTGTGTTGCAGGACGGTGAGACAGCTTTGTACCAAGCAGCAGACAATGATCAGGAAGAATGTGCTCTGGCTTTGCTCGAGGCTGGCTGTGACCCCAACATCCTCACAGCGGTACACTGAAGCTACTATACTGACTCAAACAGTGAAATCCCTGCTGTAGCACCCTGCTGTGAATGATACAGCGCTATCCCCACAATGCAAATATTTTTTAAACATAGACTACACAGCTGAACTCTGTCACTTTGTAGGACAAATGCAGCCCTCTGCATCCGGTGTCACAAAAAGGAGACACCAGTCTCGTCCAGCTCCTCTTGGAGTACAAAGCCCACACAGACTTTCAAAATCAGGTAAGCAAACACCAGCTAGGTGGCAGCAGTACGCTCTTTTAGTACAGTTAAGGCACATCCCTCACACATACACTGTGCTGCTGACACGCTGCCTTGAATCATTATTACATTTTATATGTTTTTGCTCTAATCTATTGGTTCACTTTTGGGTCTCATTATATATGTAACACAACATTTTTGCTCTCAGCACCTAGAGGCGCCTCTCCACCTGGCAGTGAAGAACAGTCACATCCCCGTCATCCATTCTCTCCTGCAGGCAGGCTGCAACATTAATGTCACCGATAAGGTATGATCACCCTCGTAACACAGTAAAAATAAGCCAACATATATAAACAGTATTTAACAAGGAAAATGTTTGCTGCATTATATCGTGCTCTCCTGTGCTATGAAATGTTAGAGGTCCCAGACTGCTATGCATGTTGCTGCAGAGATTGCCAGAATTGAAGTTGTGGAAATGCTTCTTAAAGCTGGGATGGATCTAACACTCCGGGACAAAGTAAGGGTTCGCGTGATTTCTAACATAGCTTCCATATTAATTAAATTGTGCTACTATAATCAGGGTTGATTATAGATGATTTTAAACCATGACTGCAGGCTGATACATTAAAATTGTATGAAAAATCTAATTGCAAATGCGATATCTTACAGTTCTAATTTAGTTCATGTGTTTCTTGTACGTGCTGGATTCGGAGTAGCAGGGTAAGACGGCTCTGGGTGTCGCAGCCAGAGCAAATGAGGTAATTATTGTGGATATGATCATCAAAGCAGAGAGATACTACGCCTGGAGAAAGGTGAGCGTCACATGATGCTTGTAGCTTTTATAGTTCTCCCGTGCGCTGTAATCCATTCTTGAAGCTTTGAAATCAATAATTACATTCATCACAAATGATTCATTTCCCAACGTCACATTCTCCATTAGTTGAATCCCCTCTAATACTATTACACAAGCAACCACTGTAAAAAATGACTTGCAACCCAGAAACATTTGACAGCCAATTTACCATCAATTCAATTAAAGATATCCCTTCCATTATTGATTTTCAGAATGTTTAACTCTGGCATTCATATTGCTAATCATGTGTGTTCGGTGTCTTGCCAATAATCTCTTCCTTTGCCCCTCTGGAGCTCGTGGCCTTTATCAGTGTGCTGACGTGATTTAATTGCCCTTTCAGGCCAACCCTGAGCTTGATGAGAGCGTTCACAGCGAGTATCCGCTAACGTTTAAACTTGACCACCGCTCTGAGAGCAAGCAGCTCCGTTCGATGGCCTGGCGCCTGGCGTGCGAGCTTCTGAAAGCAGGAGACTGGAAGACATTGGCACAACACTGGGGCTTCACTAAGGAGCAAGTGTGTGCCATTGAGGAGCAGTGGACAGGTGCCACAACTCACACACTGACAGGACAGGCTTTTCACTGGGCATTTGGCAACTCTGTGAAATAGTATAACAGAACCATTTTTAATGCCAACATGAATTAAAATCCCTGAGCCATGGGTATAAAAACAATACCAAAGGATAACTATTTTTTTAGACTGCAAAATTTTGACAAAGCCTTTTTAAAATGCACAATTCAGGCTATTTTCTTACTAGTTGAATTGCTTTCCTGACAACGCAGTCCTGTGTTTGTCCACAGGTCAGCACAGCTATCAAGAGCATGGGAACAGGATGCTGCTGATCTGGCTCCATGGGGAGGAGCTGGCTCAGAGGAGTCCTGCTAAAGAACTCTACCAGGGCCTGATCCTCACAGGGAACAGGAAAGCTGCAGGTACATTCAGTTATTTATTTTTATAAATCATATAAACTGACAAATATATAAATATATATAGCTGTGCTACGTGGGCATGTGTGCTAAGTTTTAGCCAAATAAATATTAATTTTTCTTCCAGATAAAATTCGGATGGAGGCAGAGAGTGTCAGCAGTAGGAGCTGTAGCATTTCATGAGGATGAGCACTGCAACACATAGACTCACAAAATTAATGTTTACATCACTGTCAACGACTCATCTGTACAGGAAGATAGTAAAATAATTTATTTTAAAAAACAACATTGTACATCAAATCATTAGGACGTGGCTTTGGTTTAGCAAAGTAAACAACCTTGGTGTTGGATGGTCGCCACAACATGGATCAATGCACGAGTAAGTGTGATTTGAAACTGTACAGTCCACTGTCGCTGTGCATAATTTAACAGTAACATTTTTCATAGGAAATAGATAAATAAATATCCATTTTGCAATTCTAAATTCTGTTATGTCTAACAATTAAAAACATTTACATATGCAGTTCTAAACACCTGGCTATGCAGCACTTTCCTGAGAGAAACCCTACTGCTCAGTCATGACAGGAAACTGAAAACAAGAGCGGATGACAAATTCATTGCAAGGTCTTAAAATAAAATGGCCTTCAAACTAATTTCAAAGCAGAAATGGATAGGACTGTTGCATAGAATGTGTTAAATCTCGACTAGGTGAGCAACACTTTGTGCGAGATACGTGTGTGCGATCATTCGACTACTTTGATGGAGTGTACGTGGCACGTGCTGGTTTGTGTTCTGGAGGAGCCTTTGCCTCCAGCGGAGGTGTGGCTCTGCTGGGATGAACGAGGAAACTTGGCAGCTGTGGCGTGCCCGATGGTTAGCTACAAGAATAAAAGAGAAACACATTTTTTTTCAAGTGAGTTTTTAGCTTCACATAACTAAAGGACACATTGTAATAGAGTAGTGATACCTGAGTGACGGGATGGTGGCGTTCAACGACCACGGAGCTCATGGGCGGAGCCACTCCCATCACCTGGAGGTTGCTGCGTGCTGCCTTTCCAACATCAGCGCGTGCAGTAATGCGAGCCATTATGGTCTTCGAGGCTTTTTGTTGACTTGATGTAATGGTACGACCGCTGACCTGAAACAACAAACATTGCTGCATTGTGTATAAATGTCACTACAGTAGGAGAGATTTTTTTGCAAAGATTTTTAGGTTTTTCACAGAAGAAATAGAAAAGAAATGTGTATACAAAAATCAGGCAGGTGACATGCAGCAAAGATTCAGCTTGCATGAAGCTGGACGGTGGTCTTAACTGCTGTTGGCTTTTTAGCCCATGCTGTGTACACATTAACCCCTCGTCCATCGGGTTGCGCCATTGAGACTTCTTTTTTACTAAACTTGATGTCTGACAAACCAGATGTAGGATGTGGGTATAAACCTACCATGACTGCTTATTTCAGGCAGCTTTGTCCTTCCCTATCACAATGAAAATGTCACATTTTCCCAAGGATTTGGATCATGCAGTAAGGCGGCTACGCTAGTTTGAAAATGTTCCACTGAGACAGTTGCACCCATCACTATTTTGGGAGAACATTGAAGCCACATCCTTTGCTTCGCCTTGCCCTTGATGACTGTGATTAGTTTAAGGAAATACAAGCAAACCAGAGCGTTTTTTCTCCCCTATAGCAGAGTGATAGTGTGGTGCACCCAGACCATTATGTTCTACAGAACGGACTGGCAAAGCAACACTACTAAACTGGAGACAGTCTGTGTTGTTGGCCACCAATTTGACAAACATTTATTTGATGAGATAATCACCATCCCAGTTAGGCATAGCTGTTGTGAAGGTGGATATTTTCATTACTTTAAGGCCCTTCTATCCGAGTCATTGGATCAATGTCTAATACTAACCTGTTTGTGGGAACTTGAAATGCCCCCAAGAGGGAGTGAGCTGTGCACCACTGTAGTGGGAGGGGGTACTTCTTCCTGCAACATAGCAGCACCAGAGCCCACCTAAGGAAAAGGGAATCAAGGAAAACAGAAACAGGAGTGAGATTTTTGGAAAGTCACAAGTGTGGCAAAAAAAAGGGGACATCACAGAGACTTATTTAAAACTGCTGTACAAGTTCTTCTGTTTTGGTGCATCTACTGTACATGAGCTGAGTGTGAAGGCAGAATTTGTGGCGATACAAGGCTTTGAAAAATGCTAAAATAAAGTAAAACCACAACAGCAAATGAAAGACTGTTTGATCCAGTGAGATATTTGAGAAGAAACTGGACTGTGGCACAGAAGCACTATGATGTGTGAAGAAGTTCATGTTTTTATTAGAAACTGTCAGCGACTCACCATATCATCTGCTTCCCTGTGGGAAGGGTCTGGGTGGTCTAAGTGAACTGGACTGAACCGTGCTGACGAGGTGGGATGAGGATGAAGATGAGCTTGTGTAGCAGAGGCAGCTTCATCCTGAGAAGGAAGAGGATCTGCAGAAAGAAAAACAGAATCAGACTCAGTTATAGTTACAGAAAATCACTTATAAACTGACGAGCATATCTTTATGATCTGCATGCTGTTTTCTTTTGATTGAACCATTTCACTTGCAGCCTTCAATAATGATTAAACTCAGCGTCTTTGGAATGTTAGTATCTTAATCCCCTCTTTCTTACTTACTTACTTAAAGCTACATTAAGGACACATTTCAAACCAAATGTTTGCTCTAACACAGAATCCAGTACCAACTATGCACCCTTGACTTGGCTAATTCAAAAGATAGCTGAAGATTAATTATGCATAACTCCTACTAAGTGTGTGTACTAAACAAGGTTAAATATTTTGTGTAAGTCTAGTTGGCAAAACAACTTATTAATGAGAGCGATTATGAAGAGAACACAGCCCGGTCTGACGGCAACATAATGAAATGCATTTCAGGTTGCAAGACTCATTAAACCTGAGAGCAGATGGATGAGCAGAAGACCATGCTAGAGTTCATAAAAGAGTGAGATCCAACTTCAGCTGCCGTGTGCTCAACAAAAACAGCAGAGTAGGAGTGTTGCTTGATCTGACAAATCCTGACTTTTGGTGCAACATGTTGGCAGGGTGTGATTTCTGACTATAACGGTATAATACTCGGAGTTTTTGAAGCCTCGTTGAATTTCGAAGGTTTAAAACTACTACTGACCTGTTGAATCTAGTTTGTGTTTGCTATGTTTGTATACTTAAATATCCAGTAATGGTGCCAAGTCCTTCATCCAATCTTTTCCAGTGTTAACATACACAACAGTAATTACATGATTTAATAAATGTTGCACTGAGCTACTGAACTTTATTAGCCAATCTTTTAGTGCCACATCAAGGTTGCCAACCTCAGCATGAGCACATCCACTGATTCATCACTCCATTAAGCGAGCCAGTAAATGACTTAAAGAAAAGTCCAAAGACCCCGTCCCCTCCTCTCATTCATAAATCCACGCAAGTGTCAATAGCACAAGGCTGCAATGTATTGAAGGCGTGGTGTTTCCGTTTTTTCCTCTTCGTTTCAGTCTCCATAACTGCGTTAAATCAATACAGCACAGAAGCAAGGCTAACAGCACTACTGTGGAACGTTGTATAGAGAAAGGGTCTTGTGATTAATGTGATGGTGCATGTTTTATTGTGCTAGATATTCAAGAAGAAAATTATTGTCTAAAATTTTGCTACAAACCACACTGACCATTAGCCGGAGGTTGCTCTGGTCGTCCCTCTGTAGAGTGGAACATGCTGAGAGCCTCCATGTTGAGAGCACAAACGCCCCTCATGAAGGCTTTCTTCATAGATTCTTCATACTGCTCTCGCTCTAATCGGAGTCTCTGGATCTCTGCTTGGGCCTTCTCTATAGTGTCGCAATGCTGCAGAGACAAGTTAGCAGAGGATGAAAAGAATTACTCAGTTTTCGGTTTAAATAATACTGACAAAAACAGCCAGTGTCCATTTTCTCACTTTCAATCTTAGGCGTTTATGTTGCACTCTAGATACACATCTGTAACTCCATGAGCAACACTATTAACCCGAATTAACCTTTATTTCTTTGACACTTCTTGTTGTACCTTCTCTGTCCACATACTTGCTCTACAATATTGTCACTGCAGTCCATTAAGTTAAATTTGTAGAGCACAGTCTCATACAGAGTTATCTGAAAATGCTTTACAGAATATCAAATATTAATGAAGTTTAATGGGGCTGTCAGTCACTGAAATGTTCAAATTACTTAATTTATAGCAATTTACTGAATAAACTTTTAAACATTACCAATACAGGTGATTCTAAATTGTCCATAGGTGTGAATGTGAGTGTGCTTGGTTGTCTGTCTCTAAGTGTAGCCCTGTGATAGACTGGTGACCTGTCCAGAGTGTCCCCTGCCTTCACCCTAAGTCAGCTGGGATAGACTCCAGCCCCCCGTGACCTTAGTGAGGATTAAGCGGTGAATAGATAATGGATGGATGGACATTACCAACACATTTACCTATCTAAGAAAATGTTAACTCATGCTAACTAGTGGTCCATCCATTTACTGTCAATGTGCCGCGATTCCTCTGGAAAACACCTTAATGAGGTAGAGTCAAGTATAAATTCAGTAATGCAGCCTCACCACCACACACTATTTCATGTATAGATCCTCCACCCACTTATTTACCTCAGACAGCTTGGCCTCGTACTCTGAGGACATTTGGCTGCAGACCTCTTCGGCCCTCGAACGGCAAGCTCGCTCCACTTTGACCCTCCAGTGTTTCTGAATCAGGGAGTGCCAGCCGAGCCACACTTTCCTCTTCAGCTGCAAATTGTAGTGCTGCCGCGCTACCCGAAAAGCATGAGTCTGGAAGGGAACCACGAGACCATGTAAATATTCACGAGGGAAATAATTACACTTATAATTCACTCTTGTGCAGCTGCAGTACATTTTCTCACAAGGTTCACTTTTTGTCTGGGCTAGAAGTCATCCAGTTTTTCCATTTTAAAGAAAGGGCTTAAACAGGTATTTTGTAAATGTGAAGACACAAGCTACAAAAAAACAAAACAACCATTATAAAGGGAGATTTTTGTGAAAAATGTGGCATATGCATGTTCAGTGAGCAGTTACATGCCGATGCATGAGTGCTGTTTTCTAGAAATGACAAAATACATCCACTACCAGTGGTTTTACATTATTGCACACAAAAACACAACATAAAATATACTATGCGACTGACACTGACAAAGATATTACAGCAACAGGTATGAAGGCACCCCTCTCCAGACAATCTCTCCAGTGAGATATTGATAGTGTCGTTGTGATGCACACACAAAACATGCACACAAACAGCCGACACCTCTTATCTGACGCTAGAAAGGTGTTGGGGGTTTCTGACTCTATCCAAACAACAGTTTGGACTGTTTGAGAATACATCCCACTTAATCTGACGATGTAAGGGTGCAGGCGGAGGGGGTTTTTGCCATCCGATAAGCATTTCTGTATAGTATAACGCCCCCTAAATACTACAGCAGGCAGGTGTCTTGTGGCAAAAAACACAATGCTATCAGTGTACCTCTTCTCTGGCCTCAGTGTGCTGAAGTCTCCAGTGGGTGAACGTCTTCATCTTTTCAAGCTTTTCTTTCTGTCTCTCCACCACATGGCTCAGGTTCGCAATCACCTGAGGGAGGACACGACACCCAGTGAGTTTGTGAGATAGAATGTGCAAGTGAGCTAAATAGAGATATATACCGCTGATTGTTTTGACACTGACAAAGCGCAGTCGTACATTTAAACTCCACAACAATGTAAACACCTAGAAATTAGAGCTGCAATGATTAACTGTTGAATAAGAAAGTTTATCAGCAACAATTTCAATGAACAAACTGTGGTTTTGGTCAGTTTTATAGGAACTAAATGAAATATTTTTGCTGGTTTAAGAATTGCAAATGTGAAAAAGCATTAGTTTACATTACTGTAAATGTATTATTTTGGCATTTTGGACTGTTAGTAGGTTAACATAAGATATTTGACCATGTCAGCTTGAAGTCATTAGTCAATTAAATGAATGGGAAAATAATTTGTCAGATTATAACATATTAAAAACATCTGTTAGTTGCAGCCCTACTGGACATGAAATTCCAGCCTGGGACTTGGTCCAATGTCTCCTCAACCACTAAATAATGTACTAGAAAAAGCAAATAAATGCACATGTAGTCACCTCATCTTTCCTGCTGTTGGACGTCTCATAGGTGTGCAGCAGCTCCTTTAGGCTACTTAGCTCTGACTTCAGGCCAGCTGTCTGGGCTGCATGCCTCTCCCTCTCCTTCATTATCTCCAGCTTGTGCTGCTCCATGAAGGCCAGCTTCCACTTCCGTAGTTCAGTCAGGACATTTGACTAATTAGGAGACAGAGGGTGGGACAGTCACAATGTTTTCATTACACCACTTTAGAAAATATGAGCACAAGTTTTAAATCATAGACAGGTTGCCACTGACAACAACAGCAAAATATAGGAACCTTGTTGATTTCATCTCTAGTCTTGTTTTTTTGGATTTCTTTCTTGAAACATTTAAAAAAGTCTTCCCAGCTTATGCTTCTGTACAAAGTGCTGCATGATTTACAGTTCTGATGTCTAGTTACAGTTTAAGGACTCTTAATCAAGTGGATTCAGACATAGACAAGCCTTCACCACACCCCAGTGCACAAGTATAGAGCAACTTTGGCTTTATAGACAACAGCTAAATTGTGAATTCATCTAAACAGTGTCAAACAGCCTACAGCCACAAAACGTGAACGTGTTTGACAGATTTTCCTCTTGCAGCAAAAGAGGCTCACAAACAACAGATTCTATCAACCAAGATAACTGACAGTGTCTCCACATTCTCTCTTATACTCTGTGGATCTCCACTGCTTTTTGCTGGGTCAGACTCCACTCTTTTATCCGCACAGTTTAGCAGGTGATTGGTTATCGTCTGCTCTCTAAGAATGAGCTGTACAACATCTGAAGAAAAGGGCAGGATGGACACCCACATGGAGCCACCCACCTCCTCCAGAATCATTCCACTTGGAGACACAGTTAAAAAGGTCAGTGGCTCCATGAAGAGTAGAGCTGTCATCCTTTTCAAAAAAGCCTTTCTTAGGCTCAAGCTTATTCAAACACATCCCCTTTATGATCTCTGGGCTCATCCTCACCACTGCCTGTGAACATAGTCCTTAGTATTTCTTGCATTTAATCCATCTTGTTCTAACCTTCTAATTAAAAAAAGGAAAAGTATAGAAATGTGAGTTTGAGGAATATCATTGTAAACCTAAAATGCTGGTTTAATTCACTCATACATTTATGCATTTTTGTCATTAGACAGATATCATTTTGACATGCGGTCAGTGAGATAAACATTGGATAAAAGTTTTTTTTCTTTCTTTTCTTTTTATTTTTTTTTTTACTTTTTGCACCATGCATTATCTTTGTAAATGAATAGTTGCAACAGCAAAATTTACATGCCTGAAAAAAGGGGGAGGAGCCTAATGAGGAGGAGGAGCAACAACCCCCCAATTGAAACCGAAACTCAGGTGTTAATGGCTCCTTTAGGATATAACTATCTGGAACTCCCAACTAGTCAGTCAGAACTGATTAGGCCTCTTGGATGAGAGGTGAGACGCATTCAAGGAACTCAAGCAAGTCCAGTTGCTACGACTACTCTTTCAGAATGCCTGAAAAAGCATATTTACTTGCTTTCTAGATTGCTCTTCAAAAAAGCCTGATAAATGCTCTGCTCATGTTGCACCACAGACTGTACCACCTATGCAAAACTAAGAATAGAAATAAAATTCACATTTTTCACAGCAAATGAGCAAATCAGTTTCTTAATTTCAGTTCATTCACAGTAAAACTGCCAGCTCGGGCCTATTTCATCATAAACTGCTGAGGTTGAAAACAAAAACTGCTATACAGATGTGTGACAAATTAATGGAAAAACCTGATCCCTTGACCCCTGCAGAGAGGGCATCCGGTGGCTGTTCTGCTGTAGGGGGAATTTTTTCAGCATGGTTTGGGTCTGTTTGTCACTTTAGAGCCAAGGGTCACTGCAAATCAATACTAATGGGAGTGGTCTCTTCCTGGATGACTTTCCCCCCCATCCACAGAGCACGAGGAGTCATTGAATGGTTTCAAGAGTTTGAAAATAATGCGAATCACATGCTTTGGCTTTATCTATGACCCAAATTCCATCTAACTGAACACCTGTGGGAGACCTACACATTAGACAGTGCTGTCCACCACCATTATCCAAATACCAAATGACAGAATGTTTTTTTGGAATATCTTTTAGGAGAATGGAGCTCTATCCTTCCAGTAGGACTCTAGTGACTTGAAGAGCCAATGCCAGTGTGCATTCAAGCTGTTCTTGTGTCATGTGGTGATCCAACATCTTACTAAGACACTTCATGTTGATTTGTTCCTTTAATATGCAGTATAATACTGAACTATGTTAAACCCTGTATAACATTATTTATTAACTCTCAAGCAGACAGAAAACTGGATCAATTAACTGTCTGATTGTAGAAGGAGAGCATGAGTAAGAGGTATACAGAAGCAGACCAACCTTCAGATTATTGCTCCACGTGTTCAGAATATTCTCCATCTTGTTTAAGTTCTCCTCTGAAATAAACATCTCTGTCACAGCAGACTCGAGGGGGTCTGGGCTGTTTGGCCTAGACCTTCCAGACATCACCTGCAACCTGTCTGAGGGAGCGTCTGAGAACGCTGACGCCCTGCTAGACAACAGGCCTCCCCTCCTGTCAGCTGGAGGGCAAAAAACAAAACCGCAGACAGACAGTATATCACTGAGAATGTGAAACAACGCTGTAACAATACGGTCTGGATATTTAGAAGCTTGTTTGGTATTAAGAAAAATGAACGTGCAGTTACAAATAACACATAACCATTTTGTTTCTTTGTTTATTTCATACAGTTTACCATGAGAGGCTTTTGAACGTGTAGAGGGCTCAACGATCAAAGGTGAGACTTGTGTTGACCTCAAGCTCCTGCTAGAATGCCTCCCATCTTGATCGTCATCTGACAGAAGACAGTGAAGGTGACATGATGGTAAAAATGGATAAAAATGGCATGTTGCTGAAGTAAATTCCGTAATGAGACTAGTGATTAAAGGTAAAAATAGAATGTTAAAGTTAGAAAACAAAGGACGGTTCCAGGACAGAAAACCTGACAGTGAGAGTGCTGAATAAGATGAGCATGGCTACTCGTCCAAGAATGCATTTATGTCAATATCTTAATTAAATTCTGCAGGGGGAAGAGAAAGCCTGCACTCTAAAGAGCAGTACGGGCAGAGTGCCAGGAGATCATTACCAATCGGCCTGTCTGCTTTCTACATCCCAGTGCACTGCTCCATAACAGTTAAACCTCCAAAGAGAGCTGCACCTGGCGATGGGGACTGATGGACTGTTTAAGATGTGGGTATCGTACGGGAAAGAGATACGGGGTACAATGTGACAGACCAATATCTAGTCTGTTGGACTGCTTTACAAGCTGATAAACAGACACTATATTTTCTCCAGGTGCCAAATCCTTTGTGACAGCTGATCATTCGATGGGGTCAGTGTGTGGAAAGGCTCAAATTGAGGTTCTGTCAGAAAAGTTTAGCGGGTGTGAATGTGTGTCTATGAATCTATCCCGCGTCCTAGACGAACCCAAGGTACCTGCTTGGCGCTGTGATTTTGGATTATCTTTACTGTGGGAACTCCGACCATCTGCACGCAGATGAGAGGTGCTTAGGTGCTTCAGTGGAACGCTGGCGAGTGGCTCAAGCTTCGGGGTGACAACAGCATAGCGTAGGAGTTCCTCATACTCATCCTGTTGATCCAAAAACAATACAAAAAGAAAAGTGAGCAGCTGTCAGATCAATTTCAGGTCAAAGTTAATCTCCAGTCATTGTTTAAACCCCTGAAAACTAATTTCTTTACATTAAAATTGCATACTTAGAAGTTTTGTCCTGGCTTACATATAATTCTGCACCCATGTTTCCTTTAGAAGGTGCAGATCTATGAAGTCCCTGCCTCCATCTACATTCTGACCCCTTTGACACATGCTGCAGCTTGAGCATGTCTGCTTAGCTACACAATGGTAAGTTGTAATATTGGAGTAATTCAGCCATACATGTTTAAACTAGAAACTAATTCTTTGATAAAGAAAGCCCCATCTTGCAAGTTGATGGGATTGATTCCTTAAATTTATTAATGTACGAAATCCCAGAAGTCTGACTCTGTGTTTTTGAGACAGTCAGCACACTGCAGTTCTACTGTGGAAATGCTCAGCCATGACAATGACTGCTTATTTTGCTCTTGATGTGTCATCAAACACATGAAAAACAAAATGAGGAGATGTTAACAAGGTAGAAAACTTGATTTTCACAAAAGGAGGTATTTAACATGAAACAAAAATAGTTGTACATATAGCATTACAAAACAATGTAACAGTCTAATAGACAGTGTAGGTGTGTTAACCACTGTTTTTCACACCCAGATTATTGATTGAAACTGACCATATGTTAAGATTGTTCATTGTCCGATAGCATTTATTGTGCTAATCAACTTAGTTATGAATATATGCTACACAGTGCTGCAGTACGCCCAGACCTGCAGTGTAAAAGTATGTGTATAAATGCACATAAAGCGTGTATTTTTTTACCTGAAGATCAGAGCACACAGAGCTGCCTCGGTCCCAGTCTTTGGGCAGGACAGGACTGGTTGGTTCATCTTCATCTGAGGACATCTAGGCAAAAAATAGACATAGTAGAAATGGTGTTAGTTGAATAAAACCACACGAGCTAACAACATTAGACCATCATTTCTCATATATACATCATATGTCGTAAGATGTTGCACAAACATTTGTAAGAAGACACAAACATTTTATTTTGTAACTTTTGGGATTATAGGGAACACATGATAATATTTATCAAGAGTCTGTTTTCTTGATTATTTGATTAATACATGTTTAATACATAATATATCAGACAATGATGAAAAATAACTAACAGTGATTCTCAAAGCCCAAACTAACCCCCACAACTGTCTTGTTTTTCCCCCACAATGCATTGGGAAAGAAACTAAAAAAACGTTCAAATTTAAGAACTCAAAACCACTCTCAACTTACTTGAACCGATTAATCAGTTATTAAAATAGTCGGTGACTAATTTAATAGCTGACGACTAAGCCATTAATCGCTGCAGCTGTAGGTTAGAAGAGACAAGGTCTTTTGAATCAGGGCTAATGCTATAGTTTCTATATTATAGGTTTTTGTACATTCAAAATGTGGGACTTAACAATACGAGCTGTGTGGAAAATATAATAATCGAGCAGAAACAATGCTGAAACACGTGTGTTCTTCTGAAGCTAAAAACACTCACAAACTGTAGCTTCATTGCAACATATTTAACACACGAGCTTCTTCACAAGCGAAATATAACTGGAACTACAAACCGAACTTCACACTATTACATACACGTATTATTTTGTCTTTCTTTACAGTGAACGCCGTTTTCTCGTGTCGTTTCAAACAGATAACAGTAGCTACATGAATCATAGCTAACCTCAAATCTGTAGGGACCGAAACACAAGCGTCCTTTTTCACCGCTTCAAATCAGAAAAAAACACTAACGAAACTATGTGAAGCAAATATACCAACAAAAACAATATATGCAGGTCGGCTTTCGAAAATTCTTACTTCTTATATATGTCTGTGCAGAGTATCTACACTTATCCGTTCCTCAAGTTGGTCGTCAGTTAGAAAGTGCTTGCTTTGCCGTTTCAAACAGACCGACTCTCAAACAACGGGCTCTCTGATTGGCTTCGGATTCCAGCGTCTACTGCTAAATCGCCTCTGGTTGGTTAGCTTGTTTCCATGGCAACGATAAGCGGAACAACGCTACACTCACCAGCTGCTCCTCCTGCAGTTTCAATTAAAAGGTCTGTCAAATCCTTGTAGTGATTTTGGAGAGTCGCTGGGTTTCCTTGACCACCGATAGAGACCCAGAGTATCTTAGTTTTACAGCTCAAACTCATACAGTTATTATCAATAGAGCTGAGCGGCCCGCACTGTAAAAATCATTTAGGGGACCTAATCCCACCACTGAAATGCATGGTCACAAGACAAAAATTATATTTCATTGATTTAGATAAACTTTTAAGTTTGATATGTTGGGAAGACATAATAGCATTGATAATTGCATCAACCTAATACTGAGTGTAATTTAATCTCAAATTTGTTGTTTACAGGATTTTAATATTGTGTGTTCAAATTTAAATATTGTTCAAATTCACGACTGCAGTTCAAAATATTTTTAGGAAGTCAATCACACAAAAGTTTGTTGTTGAATGAAGCAAATTAATAAAAGCTACTATATAAATACAATCCCCAAAAGCAAAAAAACTACTGAAAAAAGTCAAATTGGAGCAAATAATTTTTTGAAAACGTTTGTTAACCTAAAAACTTGTGTTTTTAATTATAATTATTAGGTACAAAACACTTTGAAAAGTGATTTTAAATAAAAGTTTTGTTACGTTTTGCAAGGAATCAGCTTTAAAACTTGTGTTTATGCTATCGGTTCTTAAATAAGTTGTAATTAAAATTCGAATTGCTGTGACTAAACATAGTATGTTGGTTAAATATAATTTCAGTAGAAGTTGTCTGTATAACTTAAAAAGACTTTTGGAAAGGTTTCATTAATTTTTTGTTGTTGAGCCCAAACATTTATTTTTGGAGTCTGAGCACAGATGATCAGGTAACAAACTCTAGTCACACACATATTACTTCAGCTTCTACCTCCTCTTACTTAGCATGTGAAGAAATAGAACATGAAAGCCCTACATTTTAATGTATAAAAGAACTGTTTATAGTTTGCATTTTCATGAATATTACGAGAAATTAACATTGGTCTGCTTCTGTGATTGGCAAATGACAGGTGTGTGCCTATTCAAAGAGCCACATGCTATCCAGATTATGTTTCATCACTAGTGATTAGAGATTAGCCGATTAATCCCGGTCTCACAAGGAAGCAAACTTACCTGTTTTAAGAAGGTGTAAGTCTGTGGGGAATACCACCACCCTGTGAACCTCCCTGTGGCCATTTCTCAATAGTTCGAATGGTTCGAAATCTGAACCGCAGCAATTACTTCACCGCTTGAAGACTTAACAGTATTACGACACATATGTGGGATAGGCCTAACGGCTTGGCAGGCCTGAGCTGGGACAGACTCCACAGAGGAAAGACATATGGTCCCTCTCAGCCATGGCAGAGCTGCAAGTGGCACTGTTGGACCAGAGCCTCCTCACCACCTGGCTGAAAGTGCTTCTGTGTCCGAAGGTGTCCTGTCAGCATTACCATGAGACCTGCAGGCTGACTTTGTGCACAGTGGTGACAGTGCAGTAATATCCACCAAAACAGCAGTTTGACAGCTAATCACAAAGTGTTAAGTTTTGACCGGAGAATCAAGACATAAGTCTAACAAATGTCAAATGGAATATATTTTATAAACAAGCAGATTGATGACTTTGTGCAAGCGAGGCCTGGCACACACACCCCTCAGCACATGCATTTATTGTTATTACATGTCCTGACAGTTGACACAGGCTATGAATTTGAACCAGACTTGTGAGGTATGGAGAATAATCCTGGCTGCTCTGTGGGGAGTGGAGGTTTCCTGTTGAGTGACAGGAAGCCTTAACTCCCGCAGATTACTTATTTCCTTTTCAGAGCAGATGATTCACACGTTCTGAATGGTTTTGGCCATGCGTTCATCACAGTTTCTCGTTAGGGCTGATTTTTGTCATCCCAAGGTGGCATGTCTTTGCCTCTGAGTTTTTTTTTTTTCCATCAAGCCATTGATTTTATATATATTGTTTTTTTTACAGAATACAGAAAGCTTTTATTGCCAAGTGAGCTCGCACACACAAGGAATTTAACATGGTGAATGAAACTGTGGTACACAACAATAACAAGACATGGAAAAAAAATGGAAATCTAAATCTAAGAATATTCTAAATAAAATATTATATGTAAAATAAAAGTATAAAAGCACTGTGTAAATAAAAAGTGCTGTGAAAAAGAGACATAAACTTGTCTAAACCAGAGTAATAAATTAGAAAACTGTTTAATTTAAACAGTTTATGTTGCTAATTTGCTATAGTTTTCTGCTTCCATGTTGTAGAAACATGCTGTCTAGGAATAGACAACTGCAGGGTTTGTGGTATGCAGGCATACTGTATGCACTGCATTGGTATTCTGGCAGCACCTTAATAACGCAACACATAACAGCCAACTGTTACTGTGGTATAGTGCCCAGTCTCTGCTTGTCTACTACGTGATTATATTTGCCTTAAATGACTGCAAATTGCATCTTTTTAATTGCCCCATGTGAGATTACATACTTAAACGTTTGATTGAATTACTAACTTTCTGCTATGTATAATCCGTATTACCTTGATTAACACAAAGCAATTAGGATTAAAATGAAAGAAGCTGCTATTACACCTGCGTTTTGACCCACACAAGTACAGTAATGCATACAATAAGAAGCTATAGCACAGATCCCAGTTTAAGATACAGACAGATGATAGAGTCAGGCCTCCGTTGTGCGCCCACTCTGTAAAATGTTTTGTATTTTTTTTTGTTGCAGACAAAGGTAATAAGCTGCTGTTGATAGTGGTTAGATTAAAGCCAGTATTACTGCCTCAAACCCCTTCTTTAGATCCCTTTTGTAAATTTCACCTTCCTCTCAGCAAAAGAAATGCACCTGGGCTTGTGTGTGTTGAAATGGGATTCTGCTCACATTCTTCTCTCATAGCCTGTTCAATCTGTTCCAGGACAATAATCACAATCCATTTGACTTTCTTCCCTCTGGTATTTTAGCTCAGCTACGTTAGACTATCCAGGACCTTGCAATGGTAGACAGAACAGAAATTTGGAAATAATGTTCTGTGCTTATACATGCTGACTTTGTTAAGGAACTTTTTTGAAAGCAATGCTTTTACATGTTTGCACCGTATTTTAATATCAATGAGACGTGTGGTATTATGGTCTCTTTATATTGCCTTGTACGTGTCATGTCATCCGTTGCGTTCCGATTTGTGAAACTGCGGATTACAAACTTGGTGTAAAAATTGTTTCTGCCCTTGATCGATTTTCAGTCAGACGTATTTACAGACAGCCATAACTCCTGGAGACAACAACTAATGTGCTATCATCAATCGTAATGTTATCAACCCATTTTTCTCACATATGAGACAATAATGACCTCTCGCTGAACACAATGTTGCCAGAACTCATCTTACAGTTATTCATAGCTGCCTGCTGTTTTCAAATTAGTTTTCATTACATTTTGATGGACCAGGACTTCCCCCTTGGGCCACTCTAATCCATCACGTCACTCTGTCAGTGACACCGATGTCCTTTTGTTTTGCTTTCAGAAATGCTTGCTTTGGTTTGGAACATCACCAGCACTTTGCGAACACAAGGCTGCATTGTTTGCACTCAGATAACGCGGCAGGAACAACCACAACGAGGCAGCGTATTTTCTGATTATTATACATGTAGCATATCCCCGCAGTATGATGAAAGCTGAGTCCGGCGTAAAGTGGTCAGCCATACGAGGGCAGATGAGCGGTGGAGGCTGACAATAGAGATGGAGGCTAAATCAGTTAGCCCGAGCTTCTATCTCCACAAGGCACAAACAATTACCATCAGTGTCCACATCCGTTTGTTATAATCTGGATGAAGATAAGCAGCAGACAGTTGCTCCAGTGTACCTCCACCTCTCTATTCATTTGTTAAGGATGGCTGGTGCCACAGGTACTACATCCATTTTAGATCTCGGGACGTTGGAATACATTTGAAAAACAGACATTTTAAGCTGTTTCAACTCTTCTTTTGTGTGTATAGGGAAATGCAGCAACAGTGTATAAACCCTCCTATTATCTTTGGGGTCAATTTGACCCCATTCAATATTTAACATCTTTAAATAAGTCACTGACATATTTTTTCTGTTTTATTTAAAGGGCTATTTACACATAAACTTGGGCAACAATTTTAATTATGATATTTTCTGGAGGTTTAAATTGCTGGAGTCAAACTGAACCAAAGGATAAAAGATGTCAGTAAATTTGAAGGTAGTAGGAGGGTTAATACATTTGATAATGTGAATGCAACATTATTGTAATGGCTTTGTATATTTTTGATCAGAACCACATGTTGTAGTTTGTCTGAAGAGCAAAAGTCAAACGTGCAGTCTGCAAAACACTGTCACTGTAGGTATAAAATATATGCATGTATTAATCCAACAATGTAGTGTCAAATGTGCATGTACATGGTGTATAAGTTCATCAGCTCGTATGGGGAAGGTGTGACAGATATCTAACAACATGATAAAAGATCTCAGCCAGCAGGACTGACTGTATGAGATTCCAACACTGGCTCTAGCTTAATAACTACTACCAGAGTCAGGTTACATTCAAGAATAGGAAATATTGGATTTCATTAAATTGACAGCTTTTTTCCCCGTACATATCAGAGTCCAAGCTGCAAAATGTGGGAAATTTTCACTGTAATAAAAAGACCCTGAAGTCCACGAGCACCTTTTGTGTGCATGTTTAAGTGACAGAGAGAAGAGAGAGGGGAAGCTCCGGCATGCGCAGTAGTGTGTGTGTGTGTGTGTGTGTGTGTGTGTGGGTCATTCTACTGTCCCGTACATTAAGCTAAGTGCTCCTCGGCTCTCCACCAGTATAGTAAAT